AGACCAGCCAGGACTCCGCAACCAAAGACTCGGGCATCGATACCTCTAGCACTTTCACCTCCAGTGAAGATTCCAATAGAGGCGATTGCCCAAAGGTACTTTACATTCACTCCCTAAAGATATTTCAGTTACGTTCAACGCAGCTGAAGCGATGTTACATTTATGATTGAAGTTTTTTTTAAAGCTTAAGGGCATGGTGTTTAATAATTTTATATAAGATGTAATAATTTATACATTCCTATAACCGTTAGGTCGTTTGCTACTGTATATTATTCGGTACCGATATATTCATATTGTCGAGCTGTTTTTTTGGTTAAGGCATATTTTTGTTTGGCTGCGGCATGATTGCATCGGCGGGCATGTGTCGGTTCTTACTGGATGTGCTCATTGTGAACTTGTGTTATCTTGTACATTTCTACATAAGGATCAAAATTCTTTAATTTTAACATGCTAACATGAACAGTTCCCGCTGAACTGGCAAGTGTCAATGGACGGGACGCGTATGATCGGGCACATGGTGCTACGCAAGAGCGTAGTGGAAGGCAGCTCGCATTCTTCCGCTGCTATTCTGGGCCTCAAGGTGGTGGGCGGCAAGATCCTGCCCGATGGAACTCGCGGCGCCATCGTCGAGAAAGTCAAAAAAGGCTCAATAGCTGACATAGAAGGACAGCTTAAGATAGGTAATTTTCTGTCTTTCTAATTTTGTGGCAGACACTGGGCTAGGTATAAAAACATCACATATAAAAATGGATACGACTTTAGGTGACGAAGTACTCCAGTGGAATGGCGTGCCACTGCAGGGCCGCAGCGCGGAGGAAGTCGCTGCTGTAGTTGCCAACAGCAAGCACGATTCGCACGTCGAGCTAGTGGTCACTCGGCCTTTTTCCGCAGCACGCACGCCCTCGCAGCCATGGAGGACTCATAAAGGTAACACGATTTTGCCGACCCCACATTTTAGATGAACTCATTTGGATACTTAACTAACTCGAGCTATATTTTTTATTTTTATCTTTGTAATTCAGAGGTATACACGGAAGTGATGGGTGGTTGCGAAAAGCCGAGCGTACTGGTGACGTCTCCGGGCTCTCCCGACCTGCACTCTCGCCGTCGCTCTGGAAGACACAACTACACCGCCAACGTCGCCGGACGCATACAGGTTATTACATACGATGAATTAAGACTTTACGGAATTTAAAACAATTGCGTTTTTCAGTAAGAATCCTGTCTGTGCCGCGTATCTTCTGTTAAACATAGCAATATGAATGTCCAATAGAATCAAATCCACAGTCATGCATTGTCACGAACTTCTTAAGAAATTTCAATGGGCATGTGTTGTTTGTGCAGTTGAAGGTGTACTTCGACATCACGGCGCTGCAGCTGCTGGTGACGGTGGTGTCGGCAAGCGGGCTGACGCCGCGGCCGGACGGCTCGCCACGCTGCCCCTACGCCAAGATATTCCTGCTGCCCGACAAGAGCGAAAAGAGCAAGCGCCGCACCAAGACCCTCGCCAACACGCTCGAGCCGCGCTGGAACCAGACCTTCGTCTACTGCGGAATACGGATAGCAGATATCAAGAAGAGGGCCTTAGAGGTGAGACTTTGTAAATAAGGCGGTTATAACATTATGAAATAGACAAGAGTCTATTTTTTGTATGGCAATATGTAGATTTAGGCTTTGTTCTTTCGCCCATAATTCGAAAGTATGAGAGAAGTCTTCTGCTTTCGAAACTTTGTGAGTCTGCTATCAACATTTAGTTATCTATGAAATTCTTTTTTTGTTAAAGGTCACCGTTTGGGATCTCAATCGTTACGGTCCTAACGACTTCCTCGGGGAGGTTCTTTTGGACTTGGACAGTGTTCTTATGAATCACGAACCTAACTGGTATTTACTGAAGGCTCACGAGGATATCAGTTTCAGTGTAAGTAATTATTTCTTACTCTATTCTTCACATTTTATTTCTCTTTCAATTTACAACGTTGCGACGTCGTTTATAGAGTGTGGGAGAGTGATAGTTTATAGTTACATCTCCGTAGATCAAAAAGGAAAAAGCAGAAGTAGTAATTTTTACGCTTCTCTGAGAGGTTACGATTT